CATCATATGGGTTTTTTAATATGGCATGGATCGAGAGACAAACTCAATCAATGTTTTAATGAACTCAATCAACAACATCCAGATATACCAGTCACTATTTCTGTTGGATTACATGTAAATTTTCTTAATGTTGATATTGAAAATCGTCAAGGTAATCTACATACATGTGTTTATCATGATCCAAATCAACAACCATTTCTATTACCCTATGCTATCAATTATCCACGAATATCACATCGACAATGGGTTCGATTTGCTCTTCTACGTGCTGGTCAATATTGTAGTTCATGGGATGATTTTCAAGATGAACGCATCTATATTGAATTAACTTGTTTAGCCAATGGTTATTCATTAGATTTTGTTGAATATCATATGGAACAATTCTTTACACGATTTCCTCCAATGGACAGGGGTATTATTCTCAATCGATGGACATATCCTACGTTTCGTACACGATTATTTACTTATATGCGTGAACAACAACAACGACAATTAAAGAACAATCCTTCTTTCATTCAATTAAGTTATCTATTTGATTGGGGTTCACGATGTGAATTCAATGAGAAATTCGATCGATTATGGTGGCAAATACTTGGGTTCGATACAAATTTTAGAAAATTAAATTTAAGAGTAAAACTTATTTCTAAACATTGTTATCCATCCAATGCTTACTTCTTTCCATAAATGAAATTCATGCATGAATTTTTCTCTCTTTTTTTTTTATTCTAGATTATTGTCTAGTTTTCTCAGTTAACTATCTATGGCTGAACGATCATCATTACCAGTCTCAGTTCATGAATCACTAATGACAATTCTCAATGAAATAGGTGATAGTGATATCAACTTTGCAAGTCATGAATTACTTTCATCATATCCAAATACCATTACAATATCAGATGTTCATGAAACAAGTACAATTGATGAAGAATATCAAATACGAACATTAGGCCAACATAATATGGCTAGAATGTCGATTTTACCAACTTTTCCATCGGCCGTTTCTCAATCATCACCAACAATAGCAAATTTGCTCTTAGCAAATGTGTCACGTATGAAATTCTTTATTTAGAATTTTCTTCTTATTCTTTTACTTACAGTTGTATCATTAACGCAAAAGCAATATGAGCGTGCTCATTTTTATCGTTTTCCTAAATTATTCAAA